TGGTGGGATTGGCAGGGAATCATCTACTATGAGCTGCTCCCTTACGGCTAAACTCTTAATTCGGATCTGTACTGTCAACAATTAGACCGTCTGAAGGAAGCAATCGCCCAGAAGCGACCAGCGTTGACCAATAGGAGAGGAATTGTATTCCACCAGGATAACGCAAGGCCACACACACCGGTAGTGACTCGCCAGAAGCTACGGGAGCTTGGTTGAGAGGTTCTTATGCATCCACCTTATAGTCCGGACCTGGCTCCAAGTGATTACCACCTGTTCCTGTCTATGGCGAATGATTTTAGCCTTGAAACGGTCCAGCTTAATGCTTACATGATTCTTGTGAATTTATATACTACGTATGTAGTTTCCAGAAACGCGCGTCAAAATGATTTTTCGGTTTTGAAACGCTAACTCTATTAAGCTAACCCAGTAATGTCACGAGTTAAATTGACTAGCAATTTAACAAATTATTTATGCTTATTCGCATCTTCGAAATGATTTTAATAATAAATGACATATTAAAATAAAATCAAAGATGCGAATAAGTATAAAAAATTTGTTAAATTGCTATTCAATTTAACTCGTAATATTACTACGATAGCTTAGTAGAGTTAGACCAAAAAATCATTTTGACGCGTTTCAAGACCGAAAAATCATTTTGACGCGTTTCTGGGGACTACATACGTAGTATATAAATTCACACAAGAATCATACAAGCATTAAGATCCAGCTGTATCGTTTGATTTCTATAGTTAAGTGTGTTAGTCAATTAATTTTAAATAATTTAATTGTAATAAGTTGGTGACAAAATTTTAGAATTAGTCGTGTTAATACCTTCATGTGTGATGCATTCTTTCACCAAAAGTAATTCTTCTTTTAAATGAAAATCACGAATCATTTCTGTCACAAATTCCACAATTATCTTTCCAATAATCTCTGCTCTTTCAGAAAGCATAGAACTTTCCACTTTTTCAGGCAGTCGTATTTTGTATAAAATTTGACTACAAATTTTCAGTCCATCAGTTATATTTTGTTTTGAGAGCGACAAAGATGTTTTATTTTGCTCAGCATCAAAAATTGCAGTTTTCACTCTATTAACATGTGCGATTTCATCAAACATTTCTATCGTTTTCCATGCAAGTAAATTTTATTAAAATACTTCTTCAGTTCAGAAAATCACTGTGCCAGTGAGTCGAATGCTTACTGATGTGAGCAATACTTCGATTGGCGCGTTGTCTACTTGCTGTGTTCAGAATCATCATCCGAGATTCAGAATCATACATCCGGGTGTAATTTTATTCTTAATGTTGGAAACGCGCCCTCAGTACCGTTGACATAGAGGGCGAGACGCGTGTTACCGGCCGAGGAGTGACTTTGAGGAAGATGCCGGAAGTAGCCGCGTGTGAACGGAAGAAGACGAGATCGGATCGCGAGTAGAGAGAGTGCCCGCCATTATATATTTTTCCCGCCTTTATAGCCGTTCGCCTCTTTTACTGCCATTGTTACTACGTTTAATCCGAGCCGTGTGCTCTCAATGTTCTGTAATAAAGTAGCGTGTTCGTGTAAAATAAGAAGTGTCTAATATTATTGAGAACTTTACGATCCCGAAACCGCGGCTGCAACACTTAACATTCGGCAAAATAAAATGAAATTTATTAAGGTATATTTTCCTATACAGTACGTTTTTTAAATTATTACAATATTTATTTAAAAAATCAATTTCTTCAAAATTATGGGTCAATGACTAAAATGGCCGGACTATTTTTTGTTTTCCTTTTCAAGAACAGCCTATAAAAAGCGGATCAAAATTTCTGACACCGGATGTTCCATTGTAAATATAATTTTAAGAAATCCACATTGCTTCTTCGAGCAAATTATTATTTGATCTATGGACTACTATTTCATAAGTACAAATTGCACAGCTTTTATATGAAGCAAACCGGATGTTCCATTGTAAATATAATTTTAAGAAATCCACATTGCTTCTTCGAGCAAATTATTATTTGATCTATGGACTACTATTTCATAAGTACAAATTGCACAGCTTTTATATGAAGCAAACATTATTACGACGTAACAACTGGAGCATCATATTAGACAAGGAAATGATAAAGAAAATCTCAGTTTCGAAACTTTTTGTCGTTTTCAGCATTAAGATTCTACTTCGCAGATACGCATTAATCCGTATTCTTTAATCCTGAAAAAGGATTTTCGAAGGAGTAAGAAGGAAAAAATAATTGTTATACAAAAATTATATATGTTTCGGTAATTCAGATGACTTTAGAATTCACTTCCTTCTTAAGAGACCCACTCTCCCTTTGCTTAAGTACAAAATATCTTTGTGCATTATGAACGCGTGATCGTGTTTATTTATATTCTGCAATATTTGTTGAATAATTTATTGAAATTATTTATTTCATTTTTCCTATTTTATCATATTCTAACTAAGCTTTTTTCTTATATTATTTTCATTTTGAAAGCAGAGCATATTTGTCTTTAAGGTAGAGAATTTATAATATATTATAAGACAAATAATATGTATTTTAAAGGAGAAAATTGTCTACTTTACTCTTGGAAAAAAAACGAAAACTTAAACATACGTATATATTATCAACTTTATTTGATAATAGCTTTAAAGAAGGACAAACGATGATTAAAAATCCTGTAGAAAGATACTTAGGATCATGACCTTGACAATACATCAACGTTATCGAAATGGACAAAAGGTCGCCCATTTACTAAAGTTTTATCAAAAAAGTACATAGGTACATACAATAAATAATTTTGTTAAACAAATAAGTATATGTTTTCTTTACACCTGATTTATCTCATTATTCTATTCATAAAAGTATTAGGATATTACGATTATATCAGAAAATTAATAGTTTATGAGATATTTAATGTCAATTATATAATTATGCCAGAAAAATGTACCTATAAACATATCGTAAATTATTAATTTTTTTAAATTTCGGACTTAAAACTTGTATATGTAGAATGATTATAGAGAAATCATATTACGTAAAAAATCATAATTCTATTTTAAAAAGCGCAAATAAACATTACATCTTTTTTATTTCCTCTCATGGTACTTCTATCTAGAAAAAAATAACGTGATTACAATAGGCCCCTCTCGAAACAGTTGCACTTTAATAGAAAATACTTTTTATACTTTTTAAAATATGTCGTTGTAAAAGTTAATTTGAGATATTTTGTATTAGGTGTTGGAATTAATTCGTAGCGTTTTTAATGAAAGAATGTTATTTATTTCACATGAGCATTAAAAAATACATTAATGAAAGTACTTCCCATCACTTGTAAAACGCTACGAATTAATTCCAACACCTAATATATTGGATATGGGAATAAGTTTTCGCCCATTGCAGAAAGATGTCGTTAGTAGCATTGCTCGTGTGTTTGATAGAACGGCAAGACATGTTTTTGAAAGATGTATGTCCAAAACTTTTGAGCCCAATAGATGGCATTAGTTCGAAGCGTAACAAAGAGTAACTTTTTTTATGTTGAAGATGTCAGAATTTATTCCAAAAAAGCAACATTTGCGGGAAGTTTTACTCCATTATTTTAAAGAAAAGTGCTGCGGAAACGCATCGTTTGCTCGTAGATATTTACGGTGAGCATGCTCTATCGAAAACTAGTTGTAAAGAATCGTTTCGGCGATTCAACAATGGTGATTTTGACGTGCGTGACAAAGAACGCGAAAGTGTACCGAAAAAATTGAAGATGCAGAATTGCAAGCATTACTCAAAGAAGATTCGTGTTTATCGCTTGATAGGTTCGCAAAAGAGTTAAACGTTGATAAATTCACTGTTGGAAAACGTCTACACGCAATGGGAATGGTGCAAAAAGAAGGAAATTGGGTGCCATACAAATTGAAAGAGAGAGAGACATGGAAAGACGTTTGGTCATCTGCGAGATGCTTCGTCAATGACAACAAAGGAAGGGTTTTCTACATCGTATCATAACTGGCCATGACAAATGGATCTACTACGATAACCCTAAACGGTTGAAGGTATGAGTGATGTCAGGTGAACCAGGTCCATCAACGCTAAAACGAAATCCATGCTTCAAAGATTATGTTGTGCCTAGTGAGATCATTAGTCATCAGTCCGATAAATCACTAGTCCTACTGATCATTAGTTCGACTTCTTTCCTTTTTGCAAAGATATATCTATACCTAATATTTCATTAACAGAGAGATGCGCAAAGATCGCTGAACATCTTTAATAGTGAATTCCAAATATCACATTACATCATTTTGTCATAATTCAATTTTAAACTTTGAAGTTACATCGCTTATGTTTATCCTATCATAAGCGTTAATGCATCAAAAAAGAATCGCGGAGACATTTAGGAAGTTCGTAAAAATTTCACAGCAGATATGAGTTTTATACAGTTGTATTTCCGAGACTGTCCCTCCGATAAAGCATGAAGCACGCTTTGTCGGCGCGAGGCGAGGGAGAGAAGTGCGAAAGACAGAGTGTAAATGAGCGAGAAGAAGTGAGAGCGCAAGAAAGAAAGAGAGAGGACAGATGCTCCGATGAGATTATCCGCGCGATTTTCGTTCGAGCTCATTCGGCTCGGGATGTCGACATGCGGTGTAGCTCTCTCTTACAACTAAGGACGGAAAATTACTTTTACAATTAGTTTTGTCGTTACTTTTTTATGACGACATATGTCAAGATCAAGTTCATTGAAGATGAAAATGATAGTATGATTATTCGATTACATTACTTCCTTCACACACACAATGTTTTTTAAAGATACCCATCTCTTAGAAATATTTAATAATGAAAAGTAGTAATTAATTATTTATTTTAAGTAATTGTTGTTTACTATGTTTTTAAGACTCAAAATAAATATTATATATACATGTTGTGTACAGACGGTACGGACAACATACAATATGTCGTCAAGGTCATGATCAATGATGGAGATGGCTCCCTTTTTATATGTTACCGAAAGGTCTTTAAGTGTTTCACACTGTAAACATTTTGACGCACAAAGTCAATAAAAATAGCTTACAAAATGAATACACATGTGTACATATTTATAATACTAACCCAAAGATAGCTGCACAAATCAGAGCACTTAACGTAATTATGTATAGATAAATATCCAGAAATGCTTTTAACGTCAGACGCCAAAATGTAGTTACGTTGTTATGAAACAAAAGAAATAAAATAAAATTAACACTTGCTGTGACATAAAAAATGTATATAATCAATCCGATTATTATACGAATTATCCAGTTACGTAATCTTTGGTATTCCTTTGGCGCTCCGAGAGCTTCCAATGTGTCGTCTACTATAGCAAGTTTACGTAAGCACATTTTCAAATCCTTTAAAAAAAACCATATTAATCGATTATGCGACATAGAACAAAATTATTGTAATTTTATATTTGAGTAAAAATTGTTGTTGCAATGTGTACAGGAAATGTGATAGATAAAGAATTATTTATATTATAATAATGTAAAGCATTAAAATTGATTATTTAAAAAATTAATTGTTAAAAAAAATTTTTTTTTTAATTTAATTTAAATCATTGCAAACTATGAAAAAGATTACATGCTAACAAAGTAATAGACATAAAATATGATACAATATACTATAGTAGCTTGCAAATAGTTAGACGTCAGCAAAACTGCTGTTATATAGCCTACTAGCAACAAAAAACTAGGACTAAGACAATGATGCAATGAATGGTGAAGGAATAGTTAAAATCATATGCACACACACACACATACACACACACACACACAGGCACAAGCACCTACACACATATCAGTTACAGTCTCTTTTAAATACTGTGAGTGACGCAATGAAACACGAATGCAGCAGAAAGCAGGGGGACAAAGAGGGAGAGGTTTTTATAGAAACAGAATTAAAATATTTGACTAAGGTGTAAGAGAAAGCGGTACGGAACATAATGAAATGATGAGTAATCTTAGTACCTTGATTAAAAATAAATAGAATGAAGTTCAGAGTTTAATTGAAAGAGGCGTTGAATAGAGGATATAGAGAAGTATTGAAGCAAAAAAAAAGAAAAAACGAGAAACAAGATGTAGAATAAAACGTTGCAACATCCTAAGCCAGCCAGATCTCTGGTAATACATACATATATGGTTTATCATATTTACGAACGCATTAGAAGCGGAGGCAAGAATTTTGGATACGCTGTACACTATATAGGAGTTATTGATTAAGAACCGAAACGTAGACAATATCGCGTAATCATAAAATAACAAAACGAGTAATTGAGAAGAGAGAAGTTTTTAAAAGCAGGAAAGGTGTGGCGAAGAGGATAAAGAAAACGTAGACGGGCATAAGCAGCTCGACACTTGACAGACACATATGACTGGAATATCCATGAAGAATCAACATAGACACTAAAAATTTTAATAAAGGAGGAGCGTGAAATTGAAACGGAATTAAGAAAAATGTCGAAGGATTGGATACGGGATAATAATGTTGAGGAATGGACCATTAGCAAAGATGATTTAAAGAGATTTAGAGTGAATTATTAGTTGATCATTTGCAATAAATTTTAGTTTTTTATTTAAAGCAGAACAGGTTGCAAAAGCATCGAATGGGTGAAAGAATTTGAAAAGAATTACGTCGTCTGCATACATGAAGAGCTCAGAGCTCACATTCTTTGTCTTCGACGTCAAATTCACCGTTCTTAAATTTTTGAAATCCACGACAACTACTCACACTAAAGGCAGCCTCACTATATGCTTCTACAAGCAATCGATGAGCCTCAGCTGCAGATTTCTTCAAATTAAAGAAGTAAATCAAATGTTCTCGCCAATGACGCTTATTCGGCTCAAAACTCGGCATTTTCGCATAAAAAAAAAATATATGATGCTGATACAAAATCGCTAGTATTTCAAGGTTATGTTGTTGACAGATGTCCAATCTTACGATATAATGTTTTACATCAGACAATTTTAATCACTGCTTGCTAGTGGCGCCATCTTTTGTCAAACGGCGGAAACTTATTTGTACACCTATATCTGAAGACACGGTAGTGTCTTGGCACTAAGTACATGTATAGTCATCACAATGGTTACGAATTTAATTCTTCCTCTTTGTCGTAATCTTTATAAAATGGTATATACATATATAATATTTTTCTGAATTTTTGATTTCTTTTATATTATTACAGATGCATTTTGTTCCTAAAATGTAGGAACAGAGAATGGATAATAAACTAGCGCATTTAATAGCGCCAATAAATAGTGCAATAAATAACGTTTTGTATAAAGTAATGTGCAACATTACAAAATGTACAATATTGCAATAGTACAAAATAAATGAAATTTTATAATAAATAATATATGTAAAAGTTTTATTATTTTATATACAATATTTGTACGACTTAGACATTGACTGCCGTAAACTTGTTGCATCGATCGGAATGTTTCTGATGCACTTTTATCAAGTTTTGCGGTAAATTTAATCACTGCTCTTTATTCCATATTAAAATTTCTACCTCGACCAAAATCTTGTTTAACATGAACTGTCATATCTTCGTTATATGTCAACCAAAATGAATGAAACTTTGACAGATGATAGCAAAATGTTCAACCTTTAAAATGCATGTTTGAACGCACAGATGTCGCCACTGGTTGCTGAGATGTGGTTCATGTCCGGGAAACATATTTGTCGCACTGTGTATATAATTAAACATTTTATATATATATATACGCGAAATGTATTGTCATATTATCATTCCTGTAACTACACATACACATTGTAATTGTACTTCCACAATCTGCTTAGTTACAAACCATGAAATTATTTTTATTTGCAATTATTTTTATTTGCAATTATTTTTATTGCAAATTTACAAACGTGTGGACAACTATGTTTACAACTATTATAGTGGGTCTCAAAATTATCTATTGTAGTTGTAATTTTACACAATTTTTTACAGTGCATAGCGCTTGAGATTAGAGAGCCTCTAGTCCGTCCGCTGTGATTGGCGGTCCTCAAATAACGGAAAAATATCGAAAAGTTACTTTCTTAAGTCAATGGTAACCGTAACGAATTACTTTTCAAAATCGGTAACTAGTAACGATAACTTGTTACTTTTTTTACTCGGTAATAAGTAATTGTAACTTGTTACTTTTAAAAAGTAATTTTCCATTCCCTGAATATTATATATTACATATTAAATAATTTCATTATATACTCCTATTGGGAAATAAAATGAGGCCAACACGTGCGCATTCACTTAAGTTAGGAAGTCCGGCATTTCTGACAAATTCGAAATTACCTTGAATATCGTGTAATCCATCGACATCTCGAACAGCACCAACATGATTGCAGAATTTTCTTTACAACTTAACGATCGTAATAATCAATTTTATACAATTTTTCCCTGGTAAAAACTGTCTCTGAAAACTTCGTTGAAAATGTCTGAAATCATTTTTCAGAGCTTTTTAGTGACATGACATTCAGAGACTTTTTCAAAGAAATTGAGGG